GTGGACGTCTCTGACTCTGAAGGCACAACTCAGAAGCTCAGTAATGTAAAGAAAGAAGCTCAGAGTAAAGGCTTAAAGGAATCACTGGAACTGGTTAACATCTCTGCTCATGAGTCCACCATGCAGAGATCATGGAGCATAGTTCCATGGTGCATGGTGTCATGCCACGGACACCACAGAGGAAGCTGTTTCTCTCCAAAAAAACATGGTTGCTCCCTTGAAATTTATAAAGAGCACCTTTACACTCCACAGTGCTGCTGGGAAAATGTTTAATGAACTGATGAAACTCAGGTTGACTTGTTTGGGAAAAACATGCAGCACTATGTGTGGTGGAGAAAGGCACTGCATACTAGCATCCCAATATCATCATCCCAAAGGTGAAGCAAGGTGGAGGGAGCATCATGATTTGGGGCTGATTTGCTCAGCAGCTACTGGAAGCTCTTGTTTGAAGTTATTAGAGCCAAATGAGGTTCAACTAGTTATTAAATCTGAGGGTTCACTTAATTCTTCCACCGGCACTGTGAATGTTTAATGGTTGTGTTCAATAAAGACACAAGAAATTATGATTGTTTGCGTTAGTTTAGGGACACAGTATTTGTCTACATTTTTGACTTAGATCAGATCACATTTATGACAAATCAGTGCAGAAAACCATGTTATTCCAAAAGGTTCACTGACTTTTTTCTTGCTACTGTATCTATATCAGGAGAAGTTCATCTGCAACATGGGGTTTGTTGAAGAAAAGAAAAAGAATATCCGCAACCTTTTCATTTAACCGGGTCATAGGCAGTGACAGCCACCATGGCTGAACAGACACCTGCAGAAACTTCACTGACAAACATCTCAAGGTAAAAGTCTAAACCCAGCACACCAGAGACCACTGAGACCAGAGTAAACCTGAGAGAGGCCCAGTCACACCAGACAGTGGAGCAGCAGCACATCCTAACACAGGCTGAGCTTAGTGATGTAGTGACACCACACACACCACACAGGTATAGTCGTGCCGGAGCCATCCAGAATGATGTCCCGCCCCTTTTCTCTCCAGGTGAGGGAACAGAAATATTCACAGTTCACCTGATCCAGCTGAAATTCATTAAACATGTGTTTAAGTGTTTGAACCAATTAACAATTGACTGGTTAACATCATATCGACCTTTAAGATGTATTGATTGATTTCCAAATGTCAGCTCATGCACTGAGTAACAACAAATATTGAACTGAACTGAATTGAAATGAATTGAACTGACTCCTCACGGGACTAGTTGACAACTGTAACTGGCGACCTAACGTATGGATGCATGAAGTCTGATCTGATGTAATGACTCTTGCTGTCAACTGGTCATGGCTAGCCATGGTGCTAAAATAGAAAATGACCCAAAAACTAGTAACATATAAAAGAAAAGAACATATATATTTATACAGTCTTTAAATTGTTTTGATGATTTTAATGATAGCTCTGGAAAATTATTATCTTTATTGACTTTTAGCAAGTGTGAGAATGTGTCAGGGGTCAGGTTGTAAGGCGGTGAATTTGGCGAATATAGCTACCTAGTGTGGGTGGAACACAGAAGTTTGTCAGCGTAAATGATCACAAACTCCAAAGGACATGGATGACTCATGGAGAAGCAGAGCAACAGAACCATGTTCACTCTAATGACTACTGGGAGGATTGGGAGGATTGGGACAACAAAGAACTGGAGCCCACGTCATGTAACCCACAGCAGTAGGACCAGTTTGCCTCTACCCTGAGCTGCAGTGGAACTTGTGCTGCCCCCCCTCTGCACCATATCTGACATCAGACAGTCGGCCAGTGATGGACCAAGATGTAGTACAGACTACAAATGTGGTCATTCAACCACTGATGGTACGAACAACATACTCAGCTCTTCTCAGTGACCATGGACCGTGCGTTTTGAAGCTGTGACGGGTTTGGCACCTGGATTAAAGCTACAGTCATTCCATACACATGATGTGAGTGCTTGACATAAAGACACCATAGATGCCCGGTCTTATTTCAAGTTAGGGAGCAGAATAGTGTGTGTAATGAAGGAAAAGGAGCCAACAGAACCAACAGAAACTAGATGGGTTTGACAGTGTTCAGGACTGGGGCCATGTAAGTAATCTATGCTGCACTTGATGATGTAATCAATCAATCAAATGCTTATAGGAAGACAGAAGTTTGGCCAGTAAAGGCACCTAGAGACAGTCAGTTCACAGTGCATATCACTCCATCTGAGGATCTGTTTCACACAGGCCCTGCCCACCAACACTGGTGTCCTCATTCAGCTGAGACAAGAGAGATGACACTGCTACTATCCTGTCATTGATAACTCGTCAATGAACTGAAAAGGTGGTTTTCACCTGAATCTTGTTGTGTCCTAAAGGACATGTCTGCCTTAAACCAAAACACAAGTCATTTCTTGAGATGGAACACCTATCACCCACAGCCCAGCATCATGGGATAACACCTGACTGCCTGTCTGCAGAGCTGGACCAAGTT